GGTGTGATAACCTTATCAGGTAACATTCCAAAGGTTTGCAAACTAAGTTTATACCCTTTCTGAATAACACATAGCACAGCTGATGAGTACGAGATAACAATTTTTACAGGTGACACATTTTCATGTACCCATAGGATGGGTCCCTGCTGCCAAAAAACTCCAGTAGGACTATGCTGAGAGGGAAAAATTATCAACAACAGTGGCTGACTATAGTTAATATAATGAATATGAGCAGAGGCAAGCTTTTCTTCAATTAAAGTAATACATTGCCTTGCCTGAGCTGTCAACCTACGGAAGGAGGTTGGATCTAGATTCCCCTGCAAAATGTCAAAAAGTGGTTTTAAGACTCCAGTAGGAATTCCCAGACTGGGCCAGACTCAACTGAGGTCTCCAAGCAATTTTTGAAAATCATTCAAAGTTTGTAGTTTATCTAAGCGAAGAGTAACTTTCTGTGGTTTTACTCCTGTCTGCAACAGCTGATGCCCTAAGTACTGATATGGAAACTGTTGTTGTACCTTTTCAGAAGCAATCATGAACCCAGCATGTGCTAGGCATTCCTGAAAGTCAGCAAAACCTCAAGGACTATACCTTATCGGGGCAATAACCCGGGTCACAAACATTTGGCAGAGAACAGGACTACTGGTCATACCCTGGGCTAATTAACTGCCCCTTTACCTGCAGGGCAATTCCTTTTGACGTGTCCTGACCTTCCACAGTGAAGACAATTCCTTGATCTAGCTCCACCTTTACTCTCCCTAAGAGCAGAAGCAATTACCTGACCCATCACTTGAGTGCCATCAATGTCCCTGCATAACCAGATAAAGTCATTTAAACTCCCATTTCTATTGGGGTGTATAGCCTCTTGACAGCATTTGTTAGCATTTTCATTTGTTTTATGACCGGCATAGGTGAGTCCACATTCCCCAAAATGCTACTTCCCAGCTATAACAGATGGTCAACAAACTCAGGATAAGGTTCTGAGGGTTCTTGAAGGGTCTTAGACAGTTGTTCTCCTGCCCCTTTGTTAGGTAAAGCTTTCCCTGCTTTAACGGCTATGGCAGCTCTCTGAGCATAAACAGTGGGGTCATAACCAATCTGTGCTGCTAAGACTGCATACTGTCCTGCGCCAGTTAACCTGGGGGAAACCCACAGTGACTTTACTCAGTGCAGTATTTTTGCAATTTTCCTGCATTTCACCTCTCCATAACAAATAACCTGCCTCGCAAAGACAAGCCCTGCAAAGCTGCATCCAGTCACTGGGTATAAAGTTGAGTTCCACAAAGGATTCTATTAAAGCCACAGTGAACAGGGCTGAGTTCCATAGGCCATGACTGTTTCTTGTAGTTGCTTAATGTCCTGTCCTTAAAGGTCAGAGGGTTGTGCTGCCTGATCCTCTGTCCTTACAGGTCAGAGGGTTGTGCTGCCTGATCCTCTGTCCTTGCGGATCAATAACTTCCACAACAGGATAAATTTGCCTTTCTCTGTTTAGATTATATACTCTATTTTGGATCTCTTGGAATTCCACCTCTAAGTCTATAGGAGAGGAAGCAGCAGCAAAAGGATTTGAAGTGGCAAGGAATGGATTTTGCAGTGGAGGTCTCGTGGAGACATCTCTGTTTGCTCCCTTCCTTTCTTCTTTTTCTAACGTCTTTATCAGTGCAATCTCCTTTTCTAAAATTTCTTCTTCCTCTTCGATATCCCTTTTAGTACTCTTAATTCCCCCCTCCTCAAAACTCTTACTAGAACTCACAGATTCTACATCCTGAATCTCCTCAAAGGTTTTGTTCAAATTCTCTAATTGCTCTTTTATTTTTACATCATCACTGAGAAGAGCATCTCTAAACGCCATAGTGAAAATATCGCTATGGGAAATTCTTCTGGCCCTCGCTCTTTTAATGCTTTTTGAAGGTCAGCCTTTACCTGCTCCCAATCGGTAATATTAAAGCGTCCCCCCCCCCCGCCCCACGTGTAGAAACCAGGGACTAAACTCTAAAACTGTCTTAATGATCTCTTGTGCTGTCTCAGTTTTAATACGGGTGCCTTGTTTCTATAAAATAACTAACAATTGGCCTGCTAATCATCCCCTTAACACTGGAACAGAATTACTTGTACCCATTTTCAATTCACCCTCACCAATCAATTTCTTACCTACTGGCCAGCCTTCTGAGGGCGATCTCTCAGGGGTCCCCTACTTCCCGATCTCGCTGGGGTCTCCAACTGTAACACCTGCTGCGTCTGCGTTACTCTCGGTACAGTTCGCGCACCACTGTACCACAGCAAGCCAGGCAAGGGCCTGGAGATTGAAAGATCACACAAGAGACCTAGGTCATTTGAAAGGAGATCAGCCGAATGCCGTTTATTCAAACTTGGGGAAATCATTAAATACCTCGCTGCTGCACAATGGAATACTCCCAGGCATGTGGGAAATTACCAGGCCCAAGGTGGAGTAAATGCCCTATAGCTAATCACCAGGCAGGGCAGAGGGAACACAGGAACAAACAGGAATTGCTGGCTGGCCAGAAACTGATCTCAAAATGAACCCCGGGAGCAACCCCTACACTTAATGTTGCTGCAAGCCAGTTCCTTTTTTTCTCTCTTGTTTTCCATTTATTTCTTCCTTCTTTCATTACTTAAGTTGCTTATTAAACATTTATTGTGAATTTGCCTAGCATAATAGAGATAAGTAAGAGGTTATCTGTTTTCATTCTCAGAAGTTCAAAGTCCTGGATGAGATGAATACATGAACTAATGGTGATAGGAGATGGGATGGATGTGTGGGGAGATCTGCCAGGAAAAGGAGGAGCTGGGAGCATGGATAAGTCATGCCTGTTTGGGTTACTGTGTTTTACCCAGAGAGGAAGCACTAGGCTGATGCTTAGAGGATGCATTAAAAGCTAGGCAGGGAAGAGAAGACATATCACTCTGAAGGGCTAGCTTGTTCAAGTGCTCCAAAGTCCCTAAAAGTTGTGATTTTTATAACAGGGTCTTGCTATATAACTCTGGCTTGCCTGGAACTCTCTATGTAGACAAGACTGACCTTGAACTCATGGAGACCCAGCTGCCTCTGCCTTGTGAGTTTTAAAACATAAGCTACTCCTACCTTAGCCGTGTGAGTGCTGAGGTTACAGGTGGGTTGCACCTCACCCAGCTTTGCTCAGAGTGTTCCATGGGAAGGGTGGGGCAGCTGGAGTCACCAAGCCTGGTTGGATGTGAGTCTTGAGGTTGCAGTACGAACAGTAAATGCTATTCTGGACCTCTGGGATATAAGTAAATCTAGGTGGGGCTGGGTCAGATACTGGAAACAGGGCATGTGTTTTCTTTAAGTATCATTTCTAGTCAAGTGTTGTAAGGAGGGCGCTTCTTGGTTCCCGGCTGCTCAGCCCTACAATAATCACACAGAAACCATATTATTTAAATCACTGCTTGACTCACTAGCTGTAGCTTCTTATTTGTTAACTCTTACATCTTAATTTAACCCATTTCTATTAATCTGTGTATCACCACATGGCTGTGGCTTACCAGCTAAAGTTCCGGTGTCTGTCTCCGGTAGGGCTACATGGCTCCTCTCTATTCCACCTCCTTTCTCCCAGCATTCAGTTTAGTTTTCCCTGCCTACCTAAGTCCTGCCCTATCAACAGGCCGAAATAGTTTCTTTCTTCACCAATGGTATTCACAGCATACAGAGGGGATACCACATCAGTCAAGGGACTGTGCCCCAAACCAAATAAGCATTCTATGTACACTTTTGAATTTGATTGAGTTGATAGGATTCTTTTCAATGTATGAAAAAAATAGCGGATGGTGTCCTGGCTGTGGTTAAATCTAATTTTATCTATGGTGTTTCTCGTAGGATTCCTTCTTCTTCCCTTTCTTCTTTTCCTTTATTTCTCTCTCTCTCTCTCTCTCTCTCTCTCTCTCTCTCTCTCTCTCTCTCTCTGTGTGTGTGTGTTATGTGCCACAGTACTCTTTCATGGCAGTCAGAGGACAACTTGTGGTAATTGGTTTTTGTTTTTCACCTCATTTTTGAGGCAAGGTCTTTCTTGCGTGTCTGCCTCTGCACTCCCCACTAGCTGGTCGAAAAGTTTCTCCGCAGTCCGTCTGGCTGCAGGCATGGTGGAATTACAGGTGTGCACCGCCACATGGAGCTCAGGTGGGATTTAACTCAGGTGGTCAGGCTTATTAGGCTTCCCACCCCCTGAGCCCTTACAGGCTCATGTCACCATGGGGATGGTAATCTTACTGAAACATAAACCCAAACCAAACCTTCTACAGACCTTCAAGGCACACACTAGGGTTCGTGCCTCACAGTACTCCCTACTAGTCAAACTTCTGATCTGTAGAACTATGCTTTGCTCCTAGGAGAAGAATAACTAATAAGCCTCTGCAGTTAAGGATATATATTCTTTCTTCCCCCAAGTGGTTGTTGGGTGCCTTCAAGCAGTGTGGTAAATAAGTAATTCATAAATGCCCACATTCTTGCAGTATGGTTCCCTCTTCTGTTGCTTAGTTAATAGAGACTGTTTCTTCTCCCCCTAACTCTTGGATGTATGAATGTGGTGGAGAAGGACACTATGACTCAAAATGCAATCCTTCCAAATGCTGCTGGCAAACGTGTGTGCTTGGCTGTGAGGAGACAGACAGGCAACCCCACAGACAGCGCCAGCATTCCGAAGTGGTACCAGGCTGTTTGACAGCATGCAGTGCAGGTGGACACTCACAGGCCCTCAGCTGTGCACCCCCAGGCCAGGCAAGCAGAAGAATTTGGCATCTAAACTTGCAAAATAGTGAGTATATAAAATGGCTGTTGCTTTTAAGACATTAACATTTGAGGTGCTCTGCTAGCAACTGCCAATCGGACTCTCCAGGATCTTTCTATGTGTGAATTCCAACCTTATTGTGAAATCCAACTAGAACCAGCCCTTGACTCTAGTGGGCTGCACAGACAGCAGCTGTTTGTCTCCTCTCCCTCCCAAGCTCATTATCGTGTCTGGACTGAGGGGAGCTCTGTTCTCTGGCCCAGAAGTGTTCTCTCCCGGGCAGAGAAGGTATCCATCACACACACACACACACACACACACACACACACCCTCTGAGAACCACAGGACCCGGGGAATCAGCTAGTGCCGCTCCTTTATTTCCCATCTAGACCAGAGGGATAAAGTCTGTGTGATTTCAAAACCTGATTCCTTACACGGTTCTGGATTCCCTGTTTATCTCTGTTACCTTTTGAAAGGAAGCGCTAGGGCCCCTTTGGTATCATTTACTTTCTCCAACATGTGGTTCTGTTTACTACTGTATGTGCATTCATTCTCCACCCTCTAGATGCGTCCTCTCTACATTTCAGTTCAAAACTCATGGACTCCAAAGATCCATCAATCAGAAGCCTGTCTGTGCCACAGTAGGTTCTGCCCAGTACACCACAGCAATCAATTCTTCTTTGTTTGACAAGCAAGTGGAAAAACGAATGGTTTGCTCCTGTGAATGGAAGCAAATACACATTAGGAAAAACAGGTTATAATATAAATATAACCAATATAATATAATATATTTAACTTAATATAACCAATTAATATGATATAAATAACATATTTAATATAATTTAAATTTCTACTTGTGCTTACATATAACTCCTAGAAAATCTGTTCCAAATATCAACAGAGAAAATTTAAAAACTCATAAAAGATCTAGACAGTGTTTGTTACATCTGTTTACTCATTTGTGCTCACGTGTGCATGTGTATGTGGGAGTCAGAGGTCAATTTGTGGAAGCTGGGTCTCTCCTTCGCCATGTGGGACCCAGGAATCAAACTTAGGTCATCAGGTTTGGCAGCAAGTGCCTTTATTCAATGAGCTATCTTGGCAGCCAAAGACAAGGCTTATAAATTCTACTTATCAATAGATCTTTGTAAGTCCACAAGAGTTTTAAGTTCTGACTGGACATTATTTAGGAGGATTGAATTGTGTAGCTTAGGAGACTTATATGAGATTCAAATCTAACTGCTTACGGTTTCTGAAACCTAAAATTGAGGGGTTGCCAACCTATTTGAAGATCAAGGCGAGGTGTTCTTGGAAATCTGAAGTAGAAAAGGCAATAAAGATTATTTCAGCTCTAGCTCGTGAACCAAAGCATGAACAAGTCTCAAAACATTCTGATGTGGTTTCAAACAGAGCCTTAAAAAGTCAAACCCCAGAGAGAGCCGGACTAGAGAAACCCCCAGGAGAATGGGTGCGTTGGAATGAGGGTTTCAAACTGCATAATGCGATTCTGAAGTGGAGGAACAAGTTTTAAATCGAGCCACTAAGAGTTAGTATAACTTTGTAACTACGAATGCTGCTCCAGCTTTCTCATGGAGTACATTTAAATGCTCAAATAAAGGCATTAGCATGCTCACCCAGGACTACGGTTCTCACATTAGTCCTCCCTTACCCTCTTCAATACGGTTCCATTAAATGTTGACCAAGGAGGTAGTCTTGGGAGAAGAGCAGGAACTCAGGGCTGCTGGAAGAGAGCTGAAGGTATCAGAGCACAGTCTCAGCTGCAAATCTTTTATAAAGTCTGGAAACAAGCGCAGGTTTCAAGAAAAATTATATTCAGGTGGCAAAGGATAAAGGCTGTGGGCTGCTGTGGTCAGGAGCCAAAGGAATGCCCAACTCTAGGTAGTGTTACAGAGTTTGTCTCCATGGGACTCATGAAATTCGTCCTCTTGACAATGAAGAATCCCTTTCTCTTGTCCAGTGCTAAGTTGAATGCCTTGTTCTAAGAGCACACGCTTTTCTTTTGTGTTTTCTTCCACCAAGGAGGACTATGGCATGGCTTGGGGAAGAACTGCCTGGAACACAAGGAATCCCAATGTCTGAGTTCATGCTCCCAACTTTCCAGCTTCCTTTCTCTATAGATCTTCACTATGAATGGTGGTACACAGTGAGACTTTGTACACACACACACACACACACACACACACACACATGGCAGGGGGCAGAAGAGGAGAGAAGAGATGTGTAAGTTGTGTAATAACTTTGCAAATAAACCAATTTAAAAACTGCCAGATGCATTGAACCAACTTACTGGCTAGAAGCTATGGAAAGCAGGCTAGAGGCATTCCAACTACAGGATGCTGATGGAGATTGGAACCAATTAAAATGAAATCTTGCTTTTAAACAAGCTGCTAACTTATGTAAGTTGGGGCTGGGAGGCTTCATCGTAGAGACTCATTTACTGGTGTTTCAAAGTCCTGTCAAAAATAATGGTAGCATTGCCTTTTAGTTTTTCCTTTGATGCCAGGTCTTACTTGCATTTAAAAATAATTTTAGTCAGCCCATAGCCGGAGGTCTAAGGAGAGTCTAAATCTGGTAAGTTTCTCCTTTGTTCCCAGTCTTTTATTCTAAACTTGGGCAAAGAGAATTTATTTTTAAAGCACGTATTAAATTTCTCAAGTACTATTGAATTGTTTGGAATAAATGAATGAATTGGTACAATACCAGGAACTATAAAAGTAGGTTGTTTAGAAAACTTGCTTTGTCTTTCTGGGCCACAATTCAAACACTGATAAAAAGATCACGCTTGATTTAGATTACTCCACGCTTGATTTAGATTACTCCAAGTTTCTTCTTCAAGCCATAATCTACTTCAAAAACAAAATACTGGTATCAGTAAAGTAGCAATCAGAAATTAGAATGTCTTTTGAAAATGACAAGATCAGTCTTTTGTCATATATAAGCATATTAGACAGCAGTAAATTTAAATGTTTATAATTAATGTCTTTTCCTTAAGATCAAAGCCCAGGGCCTTGCAGAAGCTGGGTAAGCACTTCACCACTGAGCTACCATTCTGTCATCTATCTATCTATCTATCTATCTATCTATCTATCTATCTATCTATC